CTTGGGTCAAATTCATAGAAATAATTGAAATGAACTAAATAGCCATGATCCTTAAGTTTCTGAAGTTGCTCTGAAAGTCCATCTTGTGGGCCAATAAAATGGAACCAATGATAACTAAGTTTATCATATATCGTGTTATGTATTGAATATTACATAGCATAGATATGAGTATGAGTGTATGGTTCGAAATAAAACTATCATCCACGCCAACACTCTCATGCAATAAGGTTTTTCTTTTCTAATTATGTTGATTGTGCTGACTTAGCTGCGTCTCGTACTATTCGACGAAAATAACGGTGAGAGGAGAATTCTACTTAGAATTTAAAATCTCCCCAAAAATTTGAAAAAAAAAACATTTATTTACTGATTAGGATATTTTTTTTAGTTTTAGCAGACCCAAACTGGTTCCAGCAGACTGATGGATAAATAAAAGTACAAAATGCGATCATCGAGAGTGTGGGTGTTGTTGCCAATGAACAGAAGACTTCCCATTAGACTCATTTAATTCAACGTCGTTTAAAATTTGAAATCAATCAAAACTCAGATTATCTATTTCTTTTAACTCTCTATTCTTCTACTCGTAATTTTTATATATGAAAAATTTTTAATTTAGACAAATGACATGGAATATTCAATTTGTTGAAGATCATTTAGCTAATCATATATCGATTGCTTTTTCGCATGATAGTCTTGAAGAATTTCTTTCATGTGCAAAAGTTGCTTTCAATAAAGATATGAGTATATATCTAGCTCACAGGCTCATAAGTCTAAATTTAAGAATCAGGAGTTTTTGATCAAAAATCAGGATTTGATCAAGAGACTTTTCCATGAGATTCGGTAAAAAACATAATATTGTTTGAAAATTCGGTTGAAAAAATCAAACAGTTATCTCTTAGAGAAGTAAAATGGTCACATTTATAAACTCTGGTGACTCGTCTTTGTTAAGTAAGTAAGGCAAATATATCTCATACGTAATACTGCAAAACAATGCTGTGAATCCATACTCTCAGCCATCAGAAACTTTAAAAAAAGAGTGGTCAAAAGAACGCTGAAAACCACCAAACTAAACAAATTCATTTTTTTTTTGGAATGTTTTTTTACTAAGAATTCAAAACGAATTTTGCTAGAAACACGTTGATTTCTTGATCGGAAACGATCGAACCGCATTCCTAGCATAACAAAATCGAGTGAACACAAATGTTATCATATTTTCTGGTGCTCGATGTACTGTACTAGAATAGGCATCGAAGAGCAGTCAGGATTTATTCTTTCGGCAGTTTTCTTTTGAGATTATTAGATATCTCTGTTATTGAATGTATTCTATTCCACTGGTGTTCTTATATCTCTTCATTTATTGATGAAAACAAAGTAAGAATTAGTATTTTATAAAGATATGCCAAAACCTCAAAAAAAGACAATGCAGAAATGAAAAGTATATTATCTAGAAATTCATTCTGACAACGTCGACAGCATGAGTATATTTTTCTGGCGAGAGAAATTCGCTTTGACAATTTTTGGTCATTTCGGAAGTAATTGTGGAATGAGCTAAAACTCGAATAATCGATTATTCAAATTTTCGTTTCGATATTAATAAGGTAATTTTTTATTCGATTTGTTTTAACATATTATGCAGAACTTGATTAGTTGAATCTTGACTTGTAATAAACATTCGAAACAGGTACTCAAAAGATATCGGAGCTCATTTCTATGAATCAAATGCATTTTCACCATCGAGAATATGTGCTAAAAGATTATTGCCACTAACTTTGAGAGTTAATTTTTTCTTCTATGCTCTTTTTGTCGGCTAATATTGCCGGAATAGATAGACAACCACCGAGACAGTATTTTTCTTTTTCATCATCTTTTTTTTATAGACTACTATAACTTTTCTTTTCAAAGACTGGAATAAAAATACATCTGTTTATTATTTCATGTACCATTCTTTCAATTTTGCTCCAAATAGGACTAATCTTGAAATTTTTTAGATCAAAACAGCAAGAAATAAGTATCATTGGAGTGTCTCTGATACATTCATGTCTATTCTGAGGTTATGACTGGTAATTTATGCTAGAAATAAAAACTATTTGATTAAAAAAAACAATATTTTTGATAAATTTGAATGAAAACTGAGCTTTTCTCTCTTGAATTAACAGCGCTGTCGAGTATTGTTTTTTTCAGGTTACTCTTTTGATTGTGAATGCCGATTGAAATACTTTAGGAATATCAAAAGTAGTGATTTTGTCAAATAAAATCCTACAGGAATATTTTAATCAAGTTTTTACTTGAGCAAGTAATTGAGCCAATAAATTTGCTTAGTCAACCATAAATAATTACTCCTAGCGATTATCATAGGTTCTGATGCAGGATAATAAAAGCATCTTTATGAATGTAGCGATGATGATCGTTTGTGATTAGAAGCCTCTCTTCTACTCATGCCCAACAAAGTTTGATTGATCAAAATAATTGTTAATCATTATGATGAATCTTTTTGTCAGAGACTATTTGAAAAATACTTTTAATAAATGTCTTCAAACAAATCGATTATGCGTAATTAATATTTTTCTTGTGAGTTTTATCTGCCACAACCACTACTTTTGGTATGTTCTAAAAGTAAGAACATTTTTTCCTTATCACGGATTATTATCTATGATAATCTATATTCTTAGTAGTATAAAAATGCAAATATGTAAATTGTGATATTTTTCGATAAATAAAACTGAATACGTTTATTTTCTTACGTAATAAACTTGTAATATTATCGATGCACAATCAATGCTAATTAATTCATATAAAATGAAAAGAATTGAACAAAATCTCTACAACTACTGTGAAGGTGAGTATGAAGCAACTCTATAAAATAACTTGATATCGATTCAATATGTATCTATAATACAAAAAGACACAAAAGAATATTTAGTGTATTTAAATTTTGACAACGAATCCAACAATGACATTGACTTTTCACAAGCAAGGTTCAATGTTTACCTTTGCATTGATACACATTAGAACAAATTAGACTGTTGACACACTTGCTATTCATGTCTTTTAATACAATGTGTAGTATTGTATGAAGATGGATTGAGGCGAGCTTTTTTTCTATTTGATACGGTTCACAGCGCCGCATTAATGTAAATAGAGGCAAGGTTTTTTTTTTTCGTTTTCATACTGTTCAAAGTAACGTATCCATGTATATTGAGGTCGTTTTTTTTTCTTTTTGATACGGTTCGAAGCACTGCCTTCATATTGACCGAAGTGAATTTTGTTTTCTTTATGATACGGTTCGAAGCACAGTATAAATTGTGAATCAAGGCAACTTCATTTTCTTTATTGTGAGATATGAAGCTCTTATAGGGTAATGAGTCGCGAGTTTTTAGTAGATCTTTCATTCTTTGTTTCTATCTTAGACGTGCGCATTATTTTTAAACATCGAGATAATTGAAACGAAAATGGCAAGAAAAGTTAACTATCATTGAACAATTGATTTTATAAATGACAATTGTACATTCAGCTGATGGTAGATAATGAATGAGAGACAGACATCTGTTATTAGAGTGCTTTTAATTATAAATTTCGTCATAATTGCTTTTCAGTTTCTTTGTGACTTCAATCAATTGATTGCGCACTTAGTACGTAGTGGTAACAATGATTTTCTTCTTTCAACTTTTGTTTGTTTTCTTCATTGATACGTGTACTAAAAATCCATATTTAAATTTGAAAATATTTACATCATCATTTCAATACGTTCACTTGTCTTAAAGAGAGAAGATATCATTCAAATAATTTTTCAAGCAAATTTTTATTCAGCATGAGTCTGGGGAGACAGCACTTCTTCGAAAGAGAAAATTAATTTCGTTTTTCTTTCTTCTTCCCTATTCGACATGCAATTCAAAACGAAAAGAATAAAAGAAGACAATTTGCGATCTTTTTCTATCATGATCAGTGGTGAATAAAGATTACGTTATAATACCATTTATTTATACAAACACAATCAATTCATAAAATTGATATGGGTAAACCTGTTTCACCTGATCTATCCAAGGGTGAGTGTTCAATAGATAATTGAAAAGAAAAACTTTTTTTTAATGAAAGAATAGATTTAAAACTATCATTTTTTCTCTAGTTGAGACTGATTCAATTCATCGTCAACGTCGTGTTCAATCTCCTTCCTCACAACATCGACATTCGTCAGTTACATCAAGTAGTCAACCAGATACATTGAAAGCTGGATTACCAATAGAAGAAGTCGCATTGAAAAGGCATCTTGGTTTATTCTCAGGAGTCTGTTTCATTGTTGGTATCATCATTGGTAAACTATTATATATTATTGTTTTTCGTTTTATTATTAATTGTTTCATATGATTATTAGGTTCTGGCATATTTATCTCTCCCCAAGGTGTTTTAAAAGGCACACACTCAGTAGGTCTCTGTTTGATTGTTTGGGCTGCATGTGGATTGCTTGCTTTACTTGGTATGTTTCATAGTATTGTCGGGAATTTAAGAGACAGCTTGATTTTTATTTTAGGAGCACTTTGCTATGCAGAAATTGGCACAGTTATACCGAGAAATGGTGCAGAAGTAGCGTATCTGAAAGAAGGTACAGTATATAAAACAGAGATATAGATTATTCTAACAAAGTTGGTCTCATACATATCCTTTTCTTTTGTTTTTTTTTTTGTTTTCAAAGTTTATTAAAAATTATGTTTAAGTAGTGGTATATTTGAAGTTCTTTTAATGAATCACTTAATATGGATCTATTCACCAATAGGTATTGGATCGGTTCATGAAAGAACAGGTGATATATTAGCATATCTTTTCAATTGGACGAATGCATCCATTCTGAGACCAGCAAGTGTTGCTGTTCTTGCTATTACTTTTTCTCGATATTTTTTACTTGGCATCATGGATGGTAAACTAGCTTCTATCCGTTGTTGTTCATATTATACATTTACCATACACATTTAGATTGTGGACCTCCATCAGAACTTGTCAAAATATTGGCTATTTTTACCACTAGTATGTTAATGTTTTCTATTGATTACTAATATTTATGTTGTTCGTTTTTAGTAATGCTCATGAATATTAATTCGCTTAGTGTATCAGCATCTAATCGTCTGAATATTGTTTTTGTCATCTGCAAAGTATCGACTATCTTAACAGTTATAGTGGCTGGTCTCGTACGCATAGGACAAGGTTTGTTTGTTGCTCTGTTTGAGAAATAAACTAGATTATTTGATAATGATTTCTTTTAAGGACATACAACATACTTGAAAAATGGTTTTTCTGGTAAAGTGCAATTGATTACGATAATACAGAGAATAACATATTATTACTTTACCCTAGAATAGGTACGGGAAAAAATCTATCGGGTCTTGCATATGCATTTTATCTTGGTCTTTGGTCATATGATGGATGGAATAGTCTTAATACAGTAACAGAAGAACTTAAAAATCCTCAAAGGTATGACTGCGATAGATGATTTCCATAGATATAATCTTCTCAAGAAAACTGAAGATATCTAGTTGATACTATCGAGCTTTGTTTTATGTATTTAAAAATTTGATGTTGATTATATTTTCGCACTTGATAGAAACCTATGGTTATCTATTGTATTGGCATTACCTGCTGTTACGGTTCTTTATGTTCTTACTAATGTCTCTTATTTTACTGTATTGAGTAAAGCAGCATTGCTTAGTTCAAGTGCTGTTGCTGTGGTATGTAGAAGAAGAAAAACTATTATCTCTTAAATATTCCATTTCTTATTTATAGACATGGGGCGAAGTTGTATTGGGTCCAGTTGTTCGTGCTCTACTCATTCTCATTGCTATTAGTGCATTAGGTAGTGCTAATGGAACTCTCTTTGCAGCTGCTCGATATTGTATGGTTGGTGCTCAATATGGATATTTGCCAGAAGTATTTGCATGTATTCATTCAAAGAGATTAACTCCATTGCCTGGTATTGTCCTTCAGGTAGTATTAATATCTCATATTGAATAACAAATACCAATTATTATTATGTTCTTTCTTGAAGGGTTGTATTGGAATTATTTTCTGTCTTCAAAGTGACATTGAGGAGTTGATCGAGATTTTCAGTTTTGCTGCATGGATTTTTTATGGATTAACATTTGTTGCCACACTGTGTTGTAAATTTACGAAAAAAGATGCAAAACGAGTGATTAATGTTAGTATCTATCATTGTCTAGGATAAGAAAATATGAAATGAGACCTTTTATGCATAGGTTCCTATTCCATTGGTTGTCATTGTTATTCTGATATCGCTTTATTTGGTTATTGCACCTTTAATTTACTCGCCAAGCAGTCAACTTCTTTATACACCAATAATAATGCTAGTTGGATTGATATTCTATTATCCATTTGTCTATCGTAAAATAGAATTAAATATTATAAGTAAGAAAACAGAGAAATTTATTGTTTAATAATTTTGTATCTTTTTTCTGTGTTTTTCAGAAAAATTCAACACTTTTTTAACAACATTCTTTGACTTACAAAGAGCACAAGTGAACATTTAATTGTAGAATAATGACTTCATTTGTAGTTTTTTTTTTCGAGATAAATACACGATAGATGATTTCAATATTCAATATTGATGAAATAAGATGATCAGTGAACTATAGTTACATTGACATGGCATAACTATTGTATTAATAATATTTGCCCTACTGTATTTGATGAAATTATCGAAATATCGAAATAAAAATTCCTTCAATAGTTTCATTTACTGTAGTAAAAACTTTAATTGTAGATATCGATTCGTGTTTTTTTACATGTTTTTCGAAACATCTCACATTAGTAAATATGATGCCATCCATTCGAAAGTCTGTGGTCACTTGTTGAAAACTAAACGCTTGAAATAATACTCAAATATAACAAAAATGTATCGTTATAAATTGAAAATGTAACTTCAATATTTTTGTGTAACTAACTATATTTATTTTTTTTTGTTGAATAATTTACAGCGTCTAGTCTTCAAGAATAAATCGAATAATATTTTAGAAAATATAATTGACTCATGACAAAAAGTAGAATGTTTTAACTGACAATTTTGATTATCACCAATTGGATTGAGTTCATTTTTAAATGATAAATCAAGAATAGATAAGAACAGTTATATGATTCGAAGCATTCAAACTTTCATTTTAAAAACAATTTAAATCATGACCATTTTTTACAAGTTGCCATCGTTATTTTTCTGCAATACACTTTTAAAGTAAACTTAACCCGTTTTCAAATTTTACTCATAATCTATCCATATAAATCCCATCGGATTACTTTACAGAGTAGAATTCGTTCTTGAAAATTCATCTCATTACTTTTTTATCTCTATTACTCGGTACAATCGAGTTATCAAAATATCGATGATACTATTGACATGAACTTTGATCAACAGATAATTCTATTGGTTTTTAATCCTTGATCTTTATCTCTCAAGTTTTTTTTGTTTTTATATCTATCTGTAACGCATCTCGTATTTCGTACTTGTTGAAGGAAACAACACAAATAAATTCAGTTGTATCCTTTTTTGCAGATTAAAGACCACCGTTCGACACTTAATGTCTTTCTTTCGATCATCTTGTCTTTTTAAGATGAAAAGAAAGATAAGAAAAAAGGTGTTGTGATTTTTTTCTATTGTGAGAAATGTTGAATAAAGATTATGTTAAAATGTCGATAATCTATATAATAATAAGCAATTTATAAGATTAGTATGATCATATACACTTCATCTGATCCAACCATGGGTGAGTTTTCAATAGATTGAAAAAAGTATTCATATGCATATATTAAAGTAGTATATCGATAATTTTTCTATATTGAAATTTAAAATAATGGAATAATATCTACATCATCATGTCTTTGTCTAGTTGAATCTGATTCAATTTATCGTCATCGTCCTGGTCAATCTCCTATTACTGAACATCGACATGTACCAATTACGTCTATTGTTCAAACAGATCCATTAAAAGCTGTGTTATTACAAGATGAACCCACGTTAAAAAGACATCTTGGTTTATTCTCAGGAATCTGTTTTATTATCGGTGCCATCATTGGTAAATTATTAGATATTACTGTTTTTTTGTTCTATCATTAATTGTTTGGTATTATTGTTAGGTGCTGGTATATTTATTTCTCCCAAAGGTGTTTTACAGGAAACACAATCCGTTGGTCTTTGTTTGATTATTTGGGCTGCATGTGGATTAATTTCGATACTTGGTATGTTTTATAGAAATATATTTTCATTTACAATATACATTTGCATCATTTATAGGAGCACTTTGCTATGCAGAAATTGGTACAGTGATACCGAGAAATGGTGCAGAAATAGCTTATTTGAAAGAAGGTATAATATGCAAGAAAAAAAAAAGAAGAAGGATTATAACTAAATGTCAACAAATAATTCTAATATGAATTCATTGATAGGTATTGGATCGGTTCACGAACAGACCGGCGATATATTAGCATATCTACACGTCTGGGCAACTATATTTGTGATTAAGCCAGCATCTATTGCTGTTATTTCTCTTACATTCTCTCAATATTTTTTATCTGGCATTTTGAGCTGTAAATTAGTTTCTAACTGTAAGCACTTTTGAAACACATTTATATTTAGATTGTGATCCTTCGCCAGAACTTATTAAAATGTTGGCTATTTTTGCTATTCGTATGTTTATTTCTTTTCTTAATTACCTTTGTTTATATCGTCTGTTTGTAGTAATGCTCATCAACATTAACTCGCTCAGTGTATCGGCAGCTAATCGTCTAAATATTGTTTTTGTCATATGCAAGGTATTTACTATCTTAACAGTAATAATAGTTGGTCTTATACGAATAGGACAAGGTTTGTTACTTCTTCAGCTTGAGAAATTAACTGGATTATTTGAAAAATGGTTTTTTTTATAGGGCATACACAAAATTTACAGAATAGTTTTGCTGGTACGTTGCAATTAGTTAAGATGATCAAGGTAATTATTATTTATTTTGTCTAACATAGTTACAACAAAGAAACCGTTTGGTGTTGCACTTGCATTTTATAAAGGTTTGTTTGCATACGGTGGATGGCAGGGTCTTAATACAGTAACAGAAGAACTCAAAAATCCCAAAAGGTACTAAATTTAATTGATAGTATAGATGATTACGTATTTTTCATTGACAATAGCGTTTCCGTTTCAGATATAATCTTTGATTGGTTTATTGAACAACTAAAACTAAATAGAATACATATTTTTGTTGTATTTTTTAGAAATCTATGGTTATCAATTGTATTAGCTGTACCTTGTGTTATTATTCTTTACATTCTTACGAATATTTCTTATTTCACTGTGATGAATAAAGCCGAATTGCTTAGTTCTAATGCTGTTGCTGTCGTATGTAGATGAATAACAAAACCTATCTTCTATTCAACGTATCATTTTTATATAGACATGGGGTAAAGTGGCTTTGGGTCCTGCTGTTCGTGCATTAGTTATTCTCATCTCAATAAGTGCATTGGGAACTGCCAATCTTAGTTTATTTGCAGCTGCTCGTTACTGTATGGTTGGTGCTCAATATGGATATTTACCTGAACTCTTTACATATGTTCAAACGCAAAGATTAACACCATTACCTGGTGTTGTCTTTATGGTTGTATTCTCTATTTGATAATTGATAATCATAATATTCTTGTGTTTACTTTTGAAGGGTGTTCTGGCTATATCTTTCTGTATTCCAAGTAATATCTATGTATTGATTGATATTTTTAGCTTTTCTACATGGATCTTTTTTGGTTTAACGTTTATCGCAACATTATGCTGTAAAGTTACAAAGAAGGATGTACCACGAGTAATTAATGTATGCACTTGTCTTTTATTGATGGCGAGAAAATAAAATGAGAGCTTGTATTTAGGTTCCAATTCCAATAGTTGTCATTATTATCTTGGTTGCAATATACTTAGTAGTTGTCCCTGTTATATATTCTCGAAGTATTAGATTTCTTTTTGCTGCTAGTATGATTCTATCCGGTTTAGTACTCTATTATCCATTTGTCTATCTTAAAATCAAATTACCATTTATGAGTAAGTAATTAAAATGTATTTATTGTGTCAAATTTTTCACAATAATAAAAATGTTTTTCTTTTTCTATTACAAGAAAAAATCAATTCAACTTTTCAAGTATGTTTCAAATTACAACGAGCACAAATAAATATTGAATAATAAAATTATCGTTTGGTTTTTTTTTTTCATTTGAAATTTTTTTTCAATGTAAAAGAACGAAATAATATTTGAATTTATTAACTTTGCTTTTTATTCGTTTTTTTGACATATAGGTAATGAATTATATTGCCATTCATTATTTCGACATTGAATATCAATAACATGAGATGATGTATTAGCTATAATTGCATTTTCATGACATGAATATCTTGTTAAAAGATAATATTTAATTTCATAATGTATAAAATAAGATTCAGCACTTTTCCAACCATTTTCAATTGTTTCAGGCATTGATTCAAGACAACCACTTGCTGCAATAAATAACTCAACGAAAATGAGTAAAATTTCGAAAGAAAATATAAATACATACGAATACATCTTGGTCGTGGACCCCATCGACCATTTCTACATTGAATATATAATGGACCTGATTGAAGATCATGTATAAAATTCTCAAGACATCGATAAGTAACTCTACTACCATCATCATAATAACCATCAGTGGTTAATTTTGCAAAGATTTGTGTTCGAGCATTTGGAATAGTAATTCCACTTTGGCAACGACGTTTAAAAGGAGCTACAAAAACAAAAATATCAATGTAAATCTATTAGATAGAGTCAATATCTACCAATGCATGGTGGTGGAAGTAATAGCCATTGACCATTGTCAAGACAAGTCATATTAAAGGTAGAACTTTGACTAATGGATTTATCGAAACAATTCAAAAGAACAAACGACCCAGGAATAGCTTCATTTGTTGATGTATCAAATACATTTATTAAAGAATCAATAACTGAGCTTCGCATAGAATCAATCGGTGGTGGAAGTGAACATCGAGGTTTTTCTTTGAAAATAACAAAAAAAAAATCAATAAATTTTTCTTTTAAATAATTTCTTACCATTACAAATTATTTTTGGATGAAAAATACCATTTTGACAAGTTAATCGAAATGGTTCATTATTACTAATATCATTTATAAAACCATATTGACAAATAAATAAAATTGATCCACTATATTTTATTTCATTATTAATAAAATGTTTTATGGTATCATCACTTAATAATTGAGCATGTTCAATGTTAGGTAATGTTTTACAATATGAAACAGTTTCACGAATTTGTCGATTACCGGTGGATAATGATTGAGTAGATGAAACGAAAGTTTCATTTGAAATATTCATTATGGGTAAGTCATCATCTAGATTTATAGTAATATTATTCTGTTCTGTTGTATTAGATAGAATCGTTGAAGTATCAAAGAAAATCTCTTCAGTAGTTTCATTGCCTATAGTAAAAATTTTGAATATGTTATTAAAATCTTTTCATTATTCTAAAAAATATTGAGCTATTCAATGGAATATAAATCTCATACTCAATAGTTTTAATAACAAATGATTTTTATTTATTTTAACTCACTCAATTGACACATTGTTATATTGATTGTATCAATTGACCACGTTCCATTCATAGAACATGTAATAAAACTTGATTGGTTAAATAAAGATTCATAGCCCGATTGACATGTAAGAAAAAGTTTAGTACCAATATTATATGTTTCATTTAATTCTGATTGAATCATAAATGAATTTGGAATAAATGGAATCTCATCTGAATTACAAACGATTGTATGAGTATCATCGAAAATTACATTCGTATTTTCATTTTCTATTGTTGTTGTTTGAAATGAATTTGTACTTGAATATATTGTAAATTTTTCTTTTGAAAAAAATAAATTACTACTTTTCATTAAATCTTCTTCATTCACAGTTGTTATTATTTGTGTTGTTGTTTTAACTGTTTGTACAAAAATGAAAAAATAAAATAAAATAAAATAATTTTTTTTTTCATTTTACTTCGACATATTGGTATACCAGTCCAATTATTTGTATTACGTTGACATTGAATTTTTAGTGGTGGACTTAATGGATCATGTTCGAAATTTGGTAAACAAACTCGAAGAACATATGAATTATAAACAAATGCTAATGGATCTCGAACATATTGAAGCGAAACTAAAGAAAAAAGAAGAATTAATTTAGTCCAGCACGTTTTTTTTTCGCTTAACTTACCATTAAAAACATATGAATTTTCAACTTCTGATTCAATATCAAGTAAATCTTGTTTTGGACATGTCGGAATTTCTAAAATATTTTTTTTCACTTTTATATTTATTTTAATATTGTATTTACCGTGGCAATCATTTATATTTGTCCATTGACCATTGAAACAATCACTTATGATTTGATCATCACCATCCAATGTTTCAAAACCATAATTACATTCATAAGTAATACTACCTGTATATGTTTGATCTTCCCAAATAGTAACATTATATACAGCAATATAACCATTTTTAATAAAAATAGGATAATCGCATCGTATCTTTTGTTCAGTTTGATAAGCAACTAGATGAATAAATGAAATTTATAAAAAGAAGCATATAATAAAAAAATAAATTTTTACATTCACAAATTGGTAATGAAGACCATACGCCAGAACTTAAACATTCGACAATAAGAGATGTTTTACCATCAATTAAACGATAACCTTCTTCACATTCATATTCAAGATTACTTCCAACCTAGAAGAAAATATTTTTATATTGATCAATAGGAAATCATTTTTATGCAATCTAATACATCATATGTTCGCAACGTCAAAGCATGCAGGCATATAAAAAGAATATGGTAGATAGAAGTATACAAATAGTCTATCAAGAAAGTATACTTCATAATCGAATGCTGATGTAAAATATTTTCAGCTCGAGATTATATTTTTGCCTATTTATTTAAGCAATTTACATGATTATCTTTGAGACATGCATACATGGCCAAGTGAAAAAAATCTTATAGAGATCATATAAAATCTTACTGAGCATTAAATGTCATGAGATTTAATATTTATCTAATTATAAGATACTATACTATGAATCTGTATATAATGCATGCTAAGTTTAATGATCGAAATCTTATAAGATCATAATTATAGATCTGATATATACAAATAGTTTAGATAAAGATACTTCTATAAATTTGAATCTATGTTTAAGCGATTAAATAGGTTCTAATTTAGACGCTAATTTTGTAGAATTGAAAACACATCTTTTAACGAGTGGTACTGATCTCCTAAAATAACTCCATAAATAATTTCATGTCATGACTTCCTACCAGATCTTTCTTTTTGAAAGTGTTGTCTCATCATCGTGTATGGTATCAAATTTGTGATAGATGTCGCTGAAAATGTTTTTCGTAGTAAAATATATTCTGAAACTGTGTTTTATTTCCAATTAATTTGAATTCTTTCTGATAAATAATGCGATTTCGGTTAGAAAAACACTCTCTGCAAGCGTTTTTAGCTGGAGCTGAAAGCTGTAAGCATTACCGTGGGACACAGGCGCCAGTGAGAACAAATACGTGACACAGGTTAATCGAATCGATTCAATAGAAATAGGTCATTTTAATGATAAACTCAATAAAAATAACTTTTTTTGAAAATGTTTTTCAAGTGCATATTTGCGTTTTCATTTAGGCTCTATAATTTTTGCGCAAAAACATACATATGCGCGTAAAGATTAAGAACTTTCTTAAGCAAAGCAGATGATAGAAAGCGAAAATAGAAGAAAATTAGATATTCAACATCTTGGGAAATACTAAAAAAAATTATATAGTTCCCTAAACAAAAAAGACTCATCTAATAAAAGTACTCGATTTTTATATTAAAAAGTAACGAGACACATGTATAATGTAAGTTGTTCACTTTTCAATTTTTAATGAAAATACAAATTTAATCGAATAAAAATCTAACAACGTCATCCATTATCCGAATGTTAATCGAGATGTTTTTAGAATTTTTAAACTTCATCGAATTTATTGTTAAGATATAAAATGAAAACAAAAGAAATTTAAGCCATTTACTAACTGAATAACAACAATTTTCTTTAATCGAAAAATGATTTCCATACTAATTTTCATCTCTATATTCCAAAGGGAATTAACATCAACTTGATTAATTATACAAAGCAATAGATTGATTATGTACTATCGACGCAAATCCATTGAATAAAGTATGAGATAGAATGAGAATTAATATTTATAATAGAATAACAACAAGAATACAAATAGCAAAGAAAAATAATTACTATCTCAATCGATACATGAATCTTAGTATAAGATTTTTTAGACTTACCATATGCAATTGTCGATTATGTTCTGAAAATTTAAAATTCATTCGAGTGATACGTGATCGATACGGTAGATATAATTTCGAATAATTACACATTGCTTGAACATCTATAATGAAACAAAATCTTTAATGGAACAAAAACTTGCGAATATATTGAAACAACTATTTACATCTACAGCTAGGCATTGATGTCCAAGTACCATCATTTTGACATTGAATAATAAGAGATTCATTTGAAGTAGGATCAAATTCGTAATTATCTACACAACGTAAAGTAATAGTTGAACCAACAACAATTTGTTGAGGATCATTTTGAAAAAGAGTTATGTTATTCGATTCAACTTGTGTATTTAATGGATAAATATTAATAGGTAAACATCGTTTTTCAGCTAAAGAAAATAGTCAAAATAAAAAAAGCCAATTTAAAAAAATCGCAAAATAGTACGAATGCATTGAACCATTGTTGACCATACGCCATTTTGACATGTAACAGTTTTATTTCCAAGAAGATAAAACCCCGGTGAACACATATATTCCATATTACCTAAATAACCTTGTCCTTTATAATATGAAACTCGATCACGTTTTATTGATCCGTTAATTAACTTCGGTGGTGGCACTTTGCAAAAGAATGATGTTTCTATACATATAACAATAAAAATTTAACAGAATAAATAAAAAAAAAGACAAGAAAATAATCGAATCATGTTTACCATCAAAATCGGCAAAGCATAAAGGAAAAATCAAAGCATAAACAATAGATTCAAACAACATGGTATTCTTATTGAAAGATACAATAATGCACTGAACTTTGTATTGGTGATGATATATATTATTTGATTCACTGCTAAAATTCTTCTGAGAATTACTCCACAGGGCATTCTTTTTCTTTTTTCTTTTTACTTATAATAGAATTAATTAATGCATAAAAAAAGCAGCAGCATTAATTGGATTTCCAACAAATGATAATCAAATGAGATATTTAATTTGTAATTTATTCTATCATTTATCAAATCTATTTTTAAAAGAATTAGTTTAACATAATTATTTATGGAGTTGCAGTGCATGTATTTTTCAATAAAATGGTGTCCTTTTTTGAGACTATTTAATCCATTTTGTACGAAATTATTTTGAATATTATTTTTTTTTAATAATATTTAATGGTATGCTTTTCATATGTACAAAGATGGTTAAATAGATTATCTGTTTTAAATTTTATTCTATATAACCCTTACGAATACATCCAATAAAAAAACATATCGAAAACTGACGAGGAGCGTCTCTCAACTGATTACTTATTTATGAATCGAGTCTATGTGCATCATGTAGACCCTAATAAACTATGAATGCTATGAAAAGAGTTCCAATCCATACCTTATTGCTGCCAAGATATTGTAATGGTACAACATGTTTTAGGTCAATGCCTTACCCTTCTCTAGAACATCAAGTAAATTGGTTTCTGAGTTTCAACTAAAAACTATCCACAGACACAATTCTTTATGAGAATAGTTCATTGCGCAAGTTTCAGATCTTTTCGTTGTCTCTATCCTAAGATGCACCGCTTATATACGCCAGTAAATTCAATGTTCTTATTTCAGAATAGATGCGAGTCAAAAGACTTGAATCTTTCACAATAACCTATTCACACTAAGATCTATCTCTGTACAAACTCATAATGCAAAATTCTAAAATCAATTTTCCGAGTGTTCTTGAGTGAGGCTACTACATTCATTCAAATAATGCCGTATCATTGCGATATCACCACAGCAGTAATATTTACGCTCGAGTGTTTTTCAGAGTACTCATAGTTCGTTAAGTTCAGTTAATAATCGATTCGTTCTTTTAAGAGAAAAAGGAAACACTGTAGAAATTATAATAAAACTATCATTATGATTTCTCCATCGCCTTTCTAAGTTGTCTCGTTATAAACGAAAAACATTCAACAAAATAGGCATTCGAAAAAAGAAATTAGTCTTTTCTTCTTTGATAGATATTAAAGTCACTAATGTATGTTTTGCCAAATCTCTAATCATTTGTAGTCATGGACAAAAACTTACATAAATATACGCATATTTTATGCTCACTAGCAACTCTACTGTCGCTAAAAATCTGCATATGAGTTTCTCAAGAATCTAATATGTCGAATTTGTGTAGAAATTCAATTTCTCATAAATGTATCTTATTTTTGTATCAAAATCTAGTGCAATACATAAATGAAAAATATTTGCATAGTTTTTGTTATTTTGTTTCTGTAATAATATGTGTTGAAATTTGTATTATGGAACGATTATTTTCAAGTTCATTAATCACACTTATTAGTAATCAAGCGCCACGCAGATGAAAATGATGCAATTTCAAGAAAGGCATTAAGATATCATCATATTTCACTATTACAGTTAATCATTCGGTAAATGAATAGAATTTTATTTCTTAAAAAACAGAAGAAAAAAAAACATTCTTTTTCAGAGACTTATTGTTTGTTTGGAAGAAAGTATTTACATTCATAGTATGCGTGATATGAAAGTATTACATACAATTCGTGATATACCATCAAATCGTGATGGTCTTTGTGCATTATCATCTAATGATGAAAATCCTTATTTAGCTTATCCAGGAAGTACAATAACGGGTGAAGTACAAATATTTGATACAAATAATTTGGTTTGTAGCATATATTTTTTTAGATTTAAACATATTTATTTCTTTTATTTTATATAGAAACCCGGTATTATAATAAGTGCTCATGAAAGTACACTTGCTGCAATGGCATTTGATATGACTGGCACTAGAATAGCAACAGCATCGAATAAAGTAAATCTTATAAATTTAAATACGAGTTTTTGATTAATAAATTTTCTGTTTTAAGGGAACAGTGATTCGTATTCATAGTGCAATTGACGGTCCGCGTTTATTTGAATTTCGTCGTGGAGTTCGACGGTATGTTTAAATAGTTTGTTTATGTTTATTTAATGATATTTGCATGTAATATTTTAGAGCTGCCATTATTTATTCATTGTCATTCAGTCCTGATTCAATGTTTTTAGCAGCTTCAAGTAATACAGAAACAATACATATATTTCGATTAATTCAACAAAAAGAAAAGTGTGTTTGCTACTTGTCTCGATTAATTTTCTTTGAATAAATCTCTTAAGACCTCCAGAAAAAACAAATTCATGGATAGAATTATTTATTTATCAATTAGGTGATGTTTCATATCATTTATCTCGAAAAGTAGCAGAAGTATTTACATAAGATCGTGCATTTTCAACTGTACATTCACGATTAACAAGAATGAAAATAACGATTGCTATGAATATTTAAATAATATGAGATATTTTCTTTTATTTTATGTTAGTCTTCTGTTTTTAGCTTTGATAAAACATTGAAATTATTTGTTGCTGGCTGTGGTGGTGTTGTTTATATTGGTGAAGTAAATAAAAATGAAGATAAAGAACATTAACAAACGAATCAATATCTCATTTTTAATAGGGTATGGGTGTGTTTCTATTTATCTTCTCGTCATATCCAGATCCACCCCTACACTTCAAAATGACTCACAGTCATGCATATCAAAGTAAGGCACATAGTACTGAAGTTTCATCACAGTATGCACATTTAACTGTCATCAGTATGCATTGAATTGAAGATTAAAACTTCCAGTGTCGATTTCAGGACATGTCGGAATCAACGATGGTCGAAATTTAGAACTTCGATATCGTTGCTCACTTTCGTCTTGTCACCGTATTCTTTGTCGTACTCCATGTGATATTCCGAAAAGACTTGAGCTGGAATCGAAGACTATAGTAGATCTAAAGAGAGAATGAAGGAATTCATCTTTACATTTTATATCTTATTGAATCAGCTATCGAACTAACGTGACAAATGGATTCTAGATGTCCTATATTTGCTTAGTCTTCACATTGAGAGAAAGTTTTAATTATATTGTCGTTTAATTCACAAAGTTCGAAAATACCATAAAAAAGTGTTATAACAGCGTAATTTTCTTTTATCTTTTAGACTAAATTAAAGTCTTATGCGTGTAGTTTTTGGTTGCTTTTTTAGGTGCATCTTGTGCAGTTTTTTTTCGCTCTATAGAATCCATAAGAAACTATTGTCGGCTCGGATGTTTTTTGGTACCTTTTTTCCATAAAAACACTTAAAAACAGTACATAATTTTCAAATTATTATGTATTTTTTTTTGTCATGTTTCGAAGATTGACCCTTCATATATATATATGTTTAAAAATTATTTAAGGGAATTCTAAATATACAGTTTTGTAGAGAAAAACTTACTCTATATTTTGAGATATTATTCGATTTGATTTGATTGACTTTGAAGACCAAAGACAAGCACATATTAAGAACAGGAAAAAAGAAAAAAGCATGATGATAATTTTTTGAACTTTATGAAGACACTGCTAATGTCTTTTTCATATCTATTCAAAAGTAACTCAGAGAAGGCTAAAGTTTTGAATTTATAGGTTTTTTTATATGCTCATTCGTTTGCGATGATAAAACAGGTAGGTCAAAGGTTTTTGTATGAAATGATTTCTCGACAAAACCCATGGACCGTCTCTTAATAAATATAATCATGAAAAATACATGCGTAACACAAAATCGAATATAAATTGAATGATGAATTTCTTTGTTGACAGTTTTTCTTCGTCCTTTAAACAACAATAGTATTTTACTTGAAGAAATAACAATACAAACACCGTACTTTTTATTTGTTAAATACACTAATTAATTATTGATCAACGAAGTAAATTTAATCTTATTCAACAATCATTTGATACTGTTAAACATGATTCCTTTAGTTTTTTTTTGCAACAGGCAATGTTTGCTTTTTCTAATGCATAGTCATTTCAACTTTACGCATTTTATCAAAATAACCTTCACTGATAAAAGTATCCTCATAATTCTCATTGTCTTTCTTTATGAAATAAAACTTTTCTCACGAGTAGGAAATATTCAGGGTTTTTTCTATTAGCTATTTATCAATTCACCAATAAAATTTCAGTATGTTACCTTTATCATGAATCACCTGATCGTTTATCTAAGCAACACAATATAAAACGATAGATATAATTATTTTCAATAGTATTTCAAGGCAAAAAAAAAAGAAATTTGTTAGAAAATCTTTCCAATCATCTGACTCGATTAATGTATAATAATAAATATTCTTGCAATGCGCTTTATTTATTTATTTGCTTTACCTGTTACGTTTTTTTTCCAACAAAAGAAAAAAGCAAAAAAAGCTTTGAATGTCTAAAATATTTGTAAGAATCAAGGTTTTAAATTTAAATTGTTTAATTAAAAAAAAATTAATTTAGATTTTAAGAGTTCAATCATCCGAAGGCACAAAAAGAATTGACTGGACTGCACAAGATACATATAAAAAATTATATGAAAAAGTAATGAAAAACATTTTTATTACTTAAAACTAATTTTTTTTTTTTGTCTTTTAGGTTGCTAATATATTTTCATTACCATCATCAGATCATTTTATTTTATATAGAGAAAAAAATAAAAAATCACCGATACCTCATTCATCAATAAAAACAAGTTTTCGGTTTGAAAAAACAGAAGTCTAAAAATGTCTTTTTTTTCACTTGATTATTTCAAGGCATGGTGACATAATTTATCTTGTTTCAGAACAAGATAATTTATTTTCAAAAGAAAAGAATTCTTCATTAACTATCAAATCTGATAAACCAATAGTCAAATCATCTTCACAACCAAATTTTCTTTCAAAATCAATTGATAATAAAGAAGATGATGTTGATCTACAATTAGATAAAATCGATGGAAGAATACCTCGACAACAAGATCCACGATTGTATAAAAAGTTTTTTTTTTTTGATATAAAATTTAATCTAATTTTTCGTTAGATGTCATCATAATCGACATGGAAAATGTTTGAATTGCATACCAATTGAGCCATATGATGAAGAATATTTAAAAAACCATAATCCACCTATTAAACATATGTCTTTTCAAGCTTACATTAGAAAATTACAAAACGAAATATCTAGTGATAGGTAATAGTTATTATTAAATCTTACTTTGTATTATTTAGTTTTGCTTTTTTCTTTTAATTACAAAGAAATACATTATCTGGTTTGGAAAATATTAGTTGCTCTATTAAAGATCAATGTTCAACAGGTCATGCTCCATGGCCAAAAGGTACAAGATTGATTTAAATAAATGAAAATTTAAAAAAGAAAACTTGTATAGGGGTTTGCACAAAATGTCAACCAAATCCAATGACTCTTATGCGTCAGGTAGAGACACTCTGAAGAAAATATTTCATTCTAATTGAACAGAAATTTATATGCATGAATTGTATAACATCTAATAATCGAAATAATTCAATGTACTTTGCAGATCTCTTCTTTTCATTCGGTTTAAGCTTTGAAAACTAATCTAATTTCTATTATTTAATTTCATAGAAACAGTATATTATTTAAAAATAGTTTCATATGTTATATTTATGTAATTGAATTCTGTACGATATGAAAAAATAATGACTTCACGCTACAAATTTCTTCAATATTATAATATCAAAGTTATGAAAGAAAATTGGTCTGATTTTCTTTTCAGCCATATCGTCATGTAGATAATATAATGTTTGAAAATGGAAATATGGTAAATCGTTTTCTTGATTATTGGCGTTCAGAAGGTCATCAACGTATTGGTTTTCTCTATGGTCGATATGAAGTTTATGATGGTGTTCCACTTGGTGTTCGAGCTGTTATTACTGCTATATACGAACCACCACAAGTTGAAGAAAAAATATTTCTATTTATGTAGTTTCAAACATAAATCTTTATTCTAGGAAACATCAAAAGATAGTGTTGAATTAATTGTTCCTGATCCACATGAAGATATTGTTGATGAATTAGCATATTGTCTTGGTATTCGTCGTATTGGATGGATATTTACTGATCTCATACCAGACGACAAAAGATCAGGTGCTGGACCAGTTATTCATCATCGAGGAAATATGGTACGAGGAAAAATGAAGTACTAACAAAAATTTTTAAGTAATTTTGTTGTTTTGATAGAATACATTTTTTTTAACTGCACAAGAATGTATAATGGCTGGTTGGTTTCAAAATAAATATTTAAATAAATGTAAATATTCACCAGATGGATATTTTGGTTCTAAATTTATTACTGTTGTTGTTACCGGTGATGCATCGGGACAAATTCAATTTGAAGGATATCAAGTATCAAATCAATGTATGGCTTTAGTTAAATCAGAAATTTTATTTCCGACTTTTGATGCACCTGAATTAGGTTATATTAAAGAAACAAGTTCAGAACAATATGTTCCGGATGTTTATTATAAAGTAAAATGAAATACAAAAACAAAACCATTTATTGAAATTTATTTTTCATTACTGAACAGGAAAAAGATTGTTATAATAATGAAATAATGAAAATAGCTCGTCCATTACCTTTAGAATATTTAATTATTGATATTCCAACAGGTTTTCCAACAGCTAATACTGAAATACAATCAACGTTTAATGATAATTGTTCCATCATAATAACACCATTTTGTATTGAAAATCGAACAAAAACAAGTGAAATACAAGTAAAATTATTTATTTTGAGTAACATTTTATGATTAAATCTTTTCTCTTCAATAGGATATGGATACATTAGCATTATATTTACAACAATTCGCAGAGATTGACATTACAAAATCAAATTCAAAACCATATAAAGCAACGGATCTTTTAGCTGATCTTCATTTATTATTGTATCTTGTAGTCAATGATATTTTTCAGTTTTCTATGGTATGATAAAAGAGAAATTTAAATTCTTATATAAAATAATTTATAATAATTGATCGAATAAAGCTTGAATTTCTCCCTCGACTAGAGTCAATTTTCATCAGAAAAATCAAAAGTAAAATAAATGCATATAAGAATTTTAAGTTGAAAAATGAGCTAGTTTTGACTCTTGCTGGTTGAATATTTCTTGAAAACGTTATGATATAGAGCTGAGAATTTTAGCTTAGCTTATCACTAGTCCGCAGGGAAAACAACGATGGCTTCAGTTTTGAAGTCTCATAAAGTCCTTCTGTCATAGCTTTATGCAGCATAATCTAAAAGGAGTTTTGAAGTATAGAGTACAAATTCGGACCACTTTCCTTACCCCATTTCCTCACAGATGTGACAGGTACGAGTTTGAAATCATCACAGAGCAAATATCAATAATGTCTCATTATAGTATATGAACTCTTTCTGTATTGCATTTCTCGAGAATAAAATAAAAGCATGCTGAAGAAATGTGTCCCAAAATAGATAAAATAAAACAGTTTTCATATGATTAGCAACAGCAACTACATTGTGTTTTACATTTCAATCCTGCAGGAATAGTGCTAATAGCTTTTGATATATGTTGAAGTCTTGAAATCTGCTTTATTCGTCTCACTATAACTCTGACTGATCCTGAACTTTTCATACAATTTGAATATACCTAACCCAAGATCAACTTTTGAATGTAATTTAGCATAAAATAAAATATGATGTCATTGTTTTTCTAGCAGAGAAAGACTGAATAAAATATTAGTGTTTATATTCTATAAAATGAAAATTTTTTTAGGATCAACTTAATCCATTACTTTATTCATTACGTACTAATGACTTGAGTGGAGTTGAAACATGGATGAAAGGTGATCATTGGCAAACATTGCTTCAACTTATTCAAATAGAACGTTAGTAGAATTATTCAAAATTAGAAAAAAATTAATATTTCAAAAAAAATTTTAGTTCCAAGTTTATCATCATCAGATAATCAATTAACTCACACGGATTCCGAAGAACAATCATCAACATGGTCTTGCTCACAATGCACTTATCTCAATAACAATTCCGATCAAAAATGTGAATTATGCTCCTCAGAAAAAAATACTTTCTCTTAATTTTATATCAAATTTTTATTTCTTATTGAAATTTATTTGAAATATTTAAGTCAAGAAAACAAATATTAAAATTACAATTTCTATTTTAGATTAATTTTTTCCTATTGAATAATGAATATCCTAAGTAGCCGATCTAGTATTGGTAGTGCTAATAGCGGTGATGGCTCTTCAGACAGTACTGTTCCCGCACAATATAAAGTACTTACATTAACATTCAATCAAGATTGCACGTAAGATTTTCTATTATTTATCACTAAAAAACAAAACTTGATCATATACTAAATCTTTTATAGATCGTTAGCCATGGGTACACCAAACACCTATTCTTTATTTACTATTGGCCAAGAAAATAAAATTGATGAAATTCATGATTCTGGTAATTATGATAAAAATGAATTGATAAATATAATTGATCTCGCTAGATATTACTGACTGTTTCAAATATATATAGATAAGTTGAACAGCTGAATACTTGAGTCAAAAAGTTGATCATCAGATGTTCAGTTCGATTTTTGCCAATCCTTCATTCAACTGATATAGGTTTAATTTTAAAATAAAATGTCAATTGAATTATAGGTTACATAATACATACGAAACTAACCCATCAAAACAAAATAAGAATAAACGAAACTTAAGAGAGAGTTCCTCAACCGATTACTTGTTTATGAATCGAGTCTATGTGCATCGTGTAGACTGATGAGCTATAAATACATTGAAAAAAGTTCAGAACCATAGCTTATTGCTGGGGAAGTATTGCAATGATATAGTATTTTTTAAGTCAATGCCGTACCCACCTCAAAAATATCAAGTAAATTGATTTCGGAATTTCCACGAAATACTCTGCATAGAAACAACCCTTTCTGAGAACAGTGTTTTTTGCAAGTTTTAGAACTTTTTGTTGTTTCTATCCTAAGATACGTCTATGGTAAAAGTGTACCTTTTCAGATCGTTCATGAACACTAGCAAATCCGATGTTCTTATTTCAGAATAAGTGAGAGTTAAATGATCTGAAACTTTCTCAATAAACTATTCATATAGAGGCTTTTCTATGTGCAAAGTTTTAAGTCAAAATTCTAAAACCAATTTTTTCTAGTGTTTCTGAGATCACAACATCGACTAAAAAAACATATTGTTACAATATCTCCACAGTAATAAGCTATGGACCCGAACTTTTTTCAGACTACTTATAGCTCATTTGGTTCTACATGATTTACCCAGTTGGTAATGGTTAGTGAAGCATATTCTGAGTCTTCAGTTAAAAATAGATTCGTTTTTGATGAGGAAAAGGTAACACTTTAGAAATTATTATAAAACTATCATTATTATTTCTCACTCACCTTTCTATGTCTTCGTTATGAATGCGAAACATTCAAGAAAATGGATTTTTGAAAAAAAGGAATTAGTCTTTTCTTCTTTGATAGATATTAAAGTCATTAATGTATGATTTACCAAAACTCTAATCATTTGTAGACATGAACAAAAACTTCACCAAAATGTTTCCATACTTTATGCTTTTTAGTCATTTTACTGTGGATAAAAATCTGTATATGAGTTTCTCAAGAATCTAATATTTTGAATTTATTTAGAAATTCAACCTCTTATAAATGTCCCATATCTTCGTAAGGAAAAGAAAACCTATTTCAATACTTATATGAAAAATATTTATGTAGTTTTTGTTTTTTGTTTCTTTAATAGCTTATGATTCAGTTTACATTATTGAACGATTATTTTCAAGTTCATTAATCGCACTTGTTAGTAATCAAGCACCACGTAAATTAAAAGTATGTCATTTCAGAAGAGGCACAGAAATATTATCTTATTCATTTGCAAATACAATTCTCGCTGTTAAACTTAATCGTGCGGTAAATGAATAGAATTTCATTTCTTAAAAAACAGAAGAACAAAAAACATTCTTTTTCAGAGACTTATTGTTTGTTTGGAAGAAAGTATTTACATTCATAATATGCGTGATATGAAAGTTTTACATACAATTCGTGATATACCATCAAATCGTGATGGTCTTTGTGCATTATCATCTAATGATGAAAATCCTTATTTAGCTTATCCAGGAAGTACAATAACGGGTGAAGTACAAATGTTTGATACAAATAATTTGGTTTGTAGCAGATATTGTTTTAGATTTAAACATATTTATTTCTTTTATTTTATATAGAAACCCGGTATTATAATAAGTGCTCATGAAAGTACACTTGCTGCAATGGCATTTGATATGACTGGTACTAGAATAGCAACAGCATCGAATAAAGTAAATCTTATAAATTTAAATACGAGATTTTGATTAATAAATTTTCTGTTTTAAGGGAACAGTGATTCGTATTCATAGTGCAATTGATGGTTCGCGTTTATTTGAATTTCGTCGTGGAGTTCGACGGTATGTTTAAATAGTTTGTTTATGTTTATTTAATGATATTTACATTTAATATTTTAGAGTTGCCACTATTTATTCATTATCATTCAGTCCTGATTCAATGTTTTTAGCAGCTTCAAGTAATACAGAAACAATACATATATTTCGATTAATTTATCAAAAAGAAAAGTATGATTACTATTTATATCAATTAACTTTATTTGAATGAATTTCTTTAGATCTTCAGAAGAAACAAGTTCCTGGGCAGGAACATTTAGTCGTCTATTAGGTGATGTTGCGTATTATTTACCTAAACAGACATCAGAAGTATTTACACAAGATCGTGCATTTGCAACTGTACACTTACAATCAGCAGGAATGAAAACAGCGATTGCTATGAATATGTAAATAATATGAAAAATATGTTTATTTTTTATTTTTAACTGCGTTCTTTTGTTTTCAGCTTCGATAAAACATTGAAATTATTTGTTGCTGGCTATGATGGTGTTGTTTATATTTATGAAGTAAATACAAATGAAGGTGGAGAATGTAAACAAATCAGTCAATATCTTTTATTTAACTTCTCACAAAATTCAAATAATCAGCAAACAGTAATAGCAAATGACCGACGAAACTCACTTGGTAAGCTCTTTAGTAAACATTATTTAGAATTTGTTTTGTGTTTCTTTTTAATTAGATGAATCCAGACAGATTTATTCATCAAATGTATCAAGAAATGAAAGTAATACAGTTTCACTTTCATCTAAACTTACAAATGAGAAAAAATCTGATGATCAATTATATAATACTGCACTACAAGAACAAAATTTTCCTGGATTACCATCACCACCCACAGGTGATGATGAATAATATACATCTACGAGTGCTGCACATGATAATAGTGTGTGCGTGTAACTTTTGTATTTCTTCTTTTGTTTTCTAAAAAAAAAAAACGATAAAACTTTCTGACAAGACAAAAGTCATATTTCTTTCTGTTAATAGAATGAATTAATTTATTTTCCGATTAAATTTATTCTTTGTTGAAGTTATATATTTTCTTTTATAAGAAATAAAAATCTTAGAAAGAAAATTTTGCGTGTTGTTTGTCAAATAAAGAAATATTTATTATTCAAATGAAATACGATGCATTTAGATAGATGAATTGAAGTATCCAAAAGGTAATTCTAGAGGAACATATTTTCAAATCAAAAAAGTAAGTATTTGTTTTTCAAGAGACCAGTATGCATGTGGATGTATGCATTTTTTTCAATTAAAGGATATTCAGGATGTCGGTGTTGGTATAGGTGTGACTGTATATGTGAAAATCGTGATGAGTAAGTTTTTCACAAGATTCCACACCTGAATCTACACCCAATGGAAACGAAACAGATAATGGATTAGTGCAAGGCACAAATCAAGCACAATGGTGGTTGTTGTTGAATTGTAGATGGTTCTATAGAGCTTGATGCACTAATTCCGAATATGTACTTTTTATGTTTTTGCATCTTGGTTTTGATGAAAAACCCTTAAAATACAAGATAGTACGAAAATACGAAAAATTGATTAATTACGGGAAAAAACTCCAGAGTTGAACTGTTTACCTTCAGCATATAGTTTACAAAACCAATTTATTCGATTTCAGCATCGAATATTGAGTATAACTAAGTATTTTTGACGTTTTCTATGCGAAGTCAACTAAGACCGTATAGGAATATGGTGACCTTTGGAGCTTGCAAACCTATTTACTTCTTTGCGTTGACAGATAAAATTCTCGTTTCGATACTAATCGGCTGAACAACCACAATGACGAAACAACTCACATTTGTCATTTCTAATGAAATATCATGTTAGTTTTGTCCAACCTAGAAACATAGTTAATACTATTGTTACATCACTTTTTGGCTTTCATTCAGCTATATTTATGATCCATAAACGTTGAGGAAGTTTTAGATGAGAGGTTTCTCGAAAAGCCGTTCATGCATGTTGGAAAGACGAGAGATGGACTGAGCAGAACGGAGTGTTATCCGAAAAAGAAATACAAAAATAAAATGGACTTGGAAACAATGGAATGGGATGTTCATGGACGCAATCACATAAGTATTAAGGCCTCCTCAAAATCGATCTCAGCCCAGGAACATCCAAATGCCATGGAACTTTGAGGATATGTTGGAACTGTGAAAGAACGTCTGTGGTAAAATTTCCAGCCTCTTATCCTAATGCATAAAGGTTGATTTTTTTGTTTAAAAGAGGATGTCCGGATGCAGTGCCTATGAGAACCCTTTTTTTTACTCTTATCTTTCTGGAGGAAAAAAACCTGGCAAGTTCAAGCACTAAAAAAACCTCTCAAAATATGATGCTCACATTATAAAATTGCTTTTCAATCTAATAATAACAAAGCTTTATCAGAAAAGGGCTCTCATAGACACTGCAGTTTTTGATGCTCTTTCAAACAAACAAAACATATTTGACTTTATATAGGATTATAGTTGACTTTCGCTGGAGATGCGTCGCTCAGTCACCATTTTGAGAAAAATGCAAAATAATTTTTTTGAAACGTCGGATATTCGAGAGACATAGTTTATTGTGTGAATAGGTATGCATAAAAAAGATCAAAACAAAAAATATCGAAAGAAAAAATATTGAAAATGCTATTAATGCAGCTTTAGCACACAATATTCATATGTAAGTGCATGATATAGATGCTGCTGCAGATAATTCACGTAGTATTGGTGAAAGCGTGTGCTGAAGCTGCAATAGTAGCATTGTCGATATTTTTTCTTTCGACATTTTTGTTTCGACCTTTTTATACCATTCGTGTGAATATCTCTGTTGAGACGAACAATATAATTTTCTTTTTTTTTTCAGAAGATTCTACATGAAAAGTTCTACTAAAACTGTATAAAAAAAAGACCTGTTAACTCGATCAAATGGTCTTTCAAGGCGGTAACCATAATACGGTAACTCCCAAGAGAGCCAATCTCATAGAATAACAATAAGTATTCAGTTATAACTAGCTGTTACTGTACGTTGAATATTGAAAGTTAGATCTAACGTTGTTATGATCTGTGGTATGTACAAGATCATATATGCTGTATTCGTTTTTTTTCTTCTCTTCTCTCACCCTCTATATACTAAAGTTTGTGTTCTTTGTCATTAGTTTTGTATTTTCTTTAACTTTATTTATTTTATTGTTTTGTGGGATGTGGATGTCGGTGAGGGTGAAGAAAAGAGTAACACTCATACTTACACCCCTACGCCCTCATTGGTAATATATCTTTTAAAAATGAACTGGCAGTGACTGATGATCATTGATTATCGAAGACGGATAGAATAAATCATTGATACGCGTGTTTAATTTTCTTTTTTTTAATCTCCTGTATAAAGTTTAGGGGTGTGGATGTATATATACTTATTCTGTTCGCATCACTGCTACACTCACTTCCTATTTAAACTCTCTGTCTTCCATATTTCTTAATAAACTACTTATATATTCAAATTTTCAAATACATTCTTGACAAATCCACATATCAAGATATCACATGATTTCATGCCATCATTGATTAAAAACAACAGCATTATCGTTTTATTGGAGATATCCCACAATCAATAAAAATTGACGCAACACATTCAAACAATTAGTTTGTATGCAACTAAAAAAGAGAACAAATGCAGCATTGTACGTCAGCTAGATGATTCTTGTCTTTAATATTTAGTCAAGGACAAAAGAATAAATTAAAATGTAATAATGCAAAAAAAATCTTAGCTTGTAATAATTTGGCTTAAATGGCCTAGCTTCACTTGATTAATAAGGTTTTTCATGCTCACAATGTAATAAATATACTAGATAGGCTTCTACAAAAACAAACAATCTATATCATGTCAAGCTGATCGATATTCTTTAGAGGTTTTACTTAAAAATATCAATAAAGTCTGAATCATTAATTTTTCATTAGAGTAATTTACGGATACAACTTTTTGTACCCGCTAGAGTTGGGTGTGAGTATCAGCGCCATGTGGGTGCAGGTCATAGTAATAAATACACCCATACTTTTTCAATTGGCTGATAAAATTATTTAGTCTTAGTTAATTCAAAATGAAAAGATGTCACAAGCATAAAACATTATTACCGACCATGCCTATAGAAGTACCTATAATTCATATTTCATCAGATAAAAACTTTATTTTTTCATGAAGAATGAAATCTCACGTAGTTTAGCTTTGTAAAATTCAAATTAAGCTAAAAAGATGAATCGGGAGTGGTCCTGTTTTGAAATCTATCATCGATAGATGAATGACTGATCGCGTTCGATATATCAGGTCAATTATTGAAAAATTTCATTATCAGCTAATTGAACTCAAATCTCTACATTGAACACGACTTTAGTATAAGATTTTTATGATAAATTGGTGCTATTTTTAATAGTTTTTCCTTGCCTGGTGACCTTTGAAGCGAGAATCAAAATAATATCTCTGATAAAATTTCACATATATGTATAATCGAACTACGTTAAATATGAAGTTTTTCGAAATTGAAGGAGTTTGAATTCAGTATAGTCTTGTTGTTCGTAAAGTTTTTGAACAAACATACGATCGATATCAAGTGTCTTCAGCCATTTTGTAGAGGAAGGAAAGATGTATGTAGTCATATGATTAAATATAAAAAAATAATCAAATGACTAGAAAATTATCTTCACGTTATTCATGACCAACAATGTAAAAAGTCAAATCATATGATCAAAACTGTGCAGAATAACGCAAACTTACAAATTGACTATATCAAAAGAATTTGTGTGGGGATAGCAGATTGAAGACCTTTATCTGGCGGAATATTTTATTCTATAAGTATTCATTCTTCTTAGAAAGAAAATTATTATTCAAATAAAATACAATTCATTAGATAGATAAGCTCAAGTATTTAGAATCAATTATAAGAGTATTACATTTTGCTTGCCGACAAAGTATTCCTTTCTCAAAGAGATCTGTATATATATATATGTATGCATGCATTGTCTTCAACTATAAGATATTCAATAGTTTTTTTTTAGAGAAATAAGAATGCATTTGATTATTACAATGAGGCCAAATATTCAAGTATTTGAATCAGATCATTTTATAAGTCAGAAGTGCTGAAATAAAATTCTTTTATAATGTTATTGAGAATTAATAAAAAACAACAAAATATCAATGAAAAAAAATGATGATTGGTCTGTCATCAATTATAAATAAATTAAAGAAAAAAAATTTGAAGAACATAAATATTCATTATTTTAGTTATTTCATAAGATATTAATATTAGCTGAAAGGACTAAAAAAAGATTAATATTTTTTATCTCTTTTATGCGTTGAATAAAAAGAAGAAACCATTAAGTAAATTAGAAAAAAATGAATGAAACATTCTTTAATGGTAAAATTACATAAATATATCTTTAGGTAAATCATCACCAGTTTCAAATGTTGCCCATTTTGTTCGTGGTATATCTTTAAATATAGTTTCAAGTCTTTGTTGTCCATTATCATCATCTTTATATTTACGAATAAAAATTCGTGCAATTCGATTAGGATATTGAGCATAAATACTTGCATAAATATCTGGATCCTTTTGAAATATATCTCCAATTAAAACAAATAAACGATGGTATGTATTTTGTAGAAACATATGTAAAGTTTCAGTTTTTTTCTTTATATAATTTGATGACATAAAAAAAGCTATAAAATTTGCATCAAGCCATGTAAAATGACGCATATGTGCAGAACCCGATGGAAAATGTTCACGATCAAAAAATTCTTTTAAAAATGGATAAAGTTGATCAGGTGATGCTGTTAAATAAGCAAATGTTGCATTATATTTTCTTTCCCAATATCGATACATATCTGCCATACCCGAAATAGCTTTAAATTCTCCACTAAATGTATTAATTAATGTCTGTGTAGATGATGTTACTTCTGTTATTTTAATCGTATCATCAATATCACTAATAAATGTTATTCCATAATCATCGCATAAATAAATTTCACCAATAGCTCGAAGATTTCTATTTGGTACTGATACTTGAAAAAGTACTTTACCACCATTACCACCTGGCTGAAGAAATAATTCAATTTCTTGATTAGTTATTGTAAAAGTATTTTTTATACGACCATCATCATCAGTTCGAGTACACATTTCTCGATTAAGTCCATCAACACATATATCTTTCCTTTTTTTACCTTCAGCTGTAAACATTTTAATACGATTTCGATCTAAATCTTTTTGAACAATAAGTTCTAAGGTTTTTTCCATAAGTAATGCTTGAATAGGATTTTCTTCATAGTACCATCCTTGATTATATAAAATCCAATCAGATGATAATGAATTGGTTGTTGATGAATGATCGCGAAATGCTACTGATGGTACAAGAAAAAGTCCTTGTTTATCAAATAGAAATCCATTAATTACATTTGTAATAGTAACAAAAATCAAAGGTACAAGACATACGTCTTTCATTTTTGATAATGACTGTAAGGTGGATTGGTCTACTATGTCATTTACATATTTCTCTTATCATCAAAGATACGCATTAATATTTATTATCAATAGAATGAATAATCATACCGCTATAGAATTGAGAATTGTTTGAAAATAAAACAGCACTAGCAAATATTTACTATCACTGATAAAGTATATCATATTACCCATGATGCTTATTGTATTATGTAAAATCAGTCACTGCGGACATATCACTAACTTTAAGTATGTAACGAAATAATCGCTTATCAATGATATTCATTGTAAAATATTCAAGAATAGATTATAAGTTATTAAAACTTTAGAAAAATAGAAAAAAGTTTAAAAAAAATTGATTTTACATTGACATCTGCTATGACATCTTATAATTTAATTAATGGAAATAGTTTGTTTTCATATTATGGTCTTCGATTTTGATTTTCTAATATGTCTGTAATGTCACTTTCAATTAAAATATGTTTGGTTTGGACTTATCATCAAGTAAGAATTTTTGTGTTGTCAATAAATAAATTCTTTTATTGACAATGCTTTCATCAGTATAATCATGTTTAGAAATGATTGACTTAGTTATTTATGATCATAATGATGTTTGACAGATTGAAAGCAAATGTCAGCATACGTGTAGGAATTACTATCTTTTTTACCATCGAACATTTTGATTAACATTATAGAATAGTGTTTTTTTTTCGAAATCAACTAAATTAAATAATTCAGTTATTGTTTTGATAATTCTAAGAAAAAAATAAATCAATTAAGTCGTAATTAGATTTATTTATGACAATGATTAGTAACGTCAGGGAAATAAAGCAAACATTCGTTCATTCATTCGATCATATCAACGGAAATCGTCTGCTTCAGGAAATGCAGTTTAGATGAAGAATCACTCGACTTGTTAAGTACCCATAATAGATGAAGTAGTATACATCCATTGGTTTTAAATACTGAATTTTATTATATATATATGCTTCTTATTATATCTTCTCTTCCGTATTGAATGAATGAGAACTAACATAAGTCATACAAAATCTTCCCTTTCACCATCATATTTATGTGAGGATAGTTCCTTTTTTTGTGATTACTCAGTCTATATTAGATGAATGAAAGCAATTAGTAATGGATCTTTACTATCTACACTGATGCCATTAACCAATAAAAATGTTCGGCCGGTATTTAATGTTGCTGTGTAAAGTGAACAAAAAAAAAATATTAGAAAAATGAGTAATACTTTTATTATAAATTTACTTTTGCTTTGCTTACTCTTAAGTACAAGTAAACATCTTATTGATCTTCGATCATCGGAATATCGACATTAACGTTCATGCTGAAGAATAGTACAATAACATAAGCTATGTTATTCTTTGATTTTATATAAAGATGTTAAATCAAGCAATAAGGATTATTTTCACACTCAATGAAAACAATTTTAAAAACGTATTAGAGCATGCAGTTTTTCATTTCAGGTTATTTGACAGTTTCTTAGATCAAACATAAGAAGATCAAATGCAAACTTAATTTTAATATATGCACAGGTTTATAAGTGCGATGCTTTTGTTTTTTTTTCTAACCAAGTCTCTATTTCACGTAATACTATATGAAAGACAACCACCAACCAACATCTTGCAATGTCAGAGCAAGAGAGAGAAAGTGAATGAGTAAGAGAGAGAGAGGGAGAGAAAGAAGAAGAAACTAGGAACTTTATTCATTTATTCTCTTTTTTTTCTTGTGAGCACTCGTTCTGCACCACCGCTACTATGATGCTTTCCTCGCGCAGTCGAAGTGCGCCTTCTCTAATGTATCTCTCGATTGTTTCCTCTACGCTAACAAACAGTGAATAAAAAAAAGAAAGAAGAAGAATGCTTTGGACGTCAATGCAACACATTACATATAAGCATTACCATTATATGACCACATTAAATCTAAAGAATGAAGTTATATATTAATTTTCGAACAAAGAAAAATAAAATGAAAAAAAAAAGCATTCTTCTTCTTATTTTTTTACTCTTTTTTCATCGAGAAATACAAGTATTGTTTCACATTGAATCGATTTGTAAATATATATTTTGCTTGCTTTTCTTTTGTATATTTTATTGTGTCAACTATTCTGTAATTAGAATGTAACAGTATTTTAGATAACCCACATCGATATTTAATTATAAGCGAAGAAAAAGAAATTGATGACTATTATTTTTATTCGGATGTTTATCACAATCACTAAGGATGGACTCACTGATGTGCATTGAATATTTGCTACAATAGTATTGCTATACATACAAAAAAAACCGAGTTCTTATTTCTATCGTAGCTTTTTTTCCTTTCTTTCCTGAATACGCGGAGTATAATAAGTGTTTTAAAAAAAGTTTTTGCACACACCGATAGCAAATTACTGGTGTTGTTATTACTACTACTCTCGTTTCTCTTGCTGTTACTGTCTAATGACAGCCAGAAGAATACACTTTTTCCTTCTTCTTTTCCTTCTTCTTCTCTAAGTTACTTCATCATGCGTTTGCGTTACTTCATTTTTCCATGCGTATAGAAAGTAAATAGCCGAGAACAGAGCAATAGTGAATGGGAGAGACTCGTACCACATGCGCTGCTCATTATTACCAGGGTGTCTGTGCTGTCGAGAAAGAGAAGAAAAAAACGAGAGAAAAGACTATTTTGGCATGTATGCGCATTTCATCTATAATTCATGCTTAATTATTCACTTCTTGCGCACACACAGTTTCTAATAGTACTTTTGTTCAAAAGATGACTAACACTATTGTGATTGCTTGTACATTGTAGCATGTCAATTTATTCAATAATTCTTTCATTCTTATTTTTATTCACAGGTTTGTAATTAATTCTCAATATAATGAGAAAACTGTCTCTACATCATGTGTTTTTTTAAAGCTGAAGTCTATACTCAGTAGTAGAATTGTAATCAATCAAACTCTAATTACTTATATTAATATACATAGTTATCATGGAATATGAAATAACAATCATTGTCATATTTAAATGTATACATTTTTCATAGTTCTCTTGATTTTTGAATATTTATGAATATGAGAAGCAAAAAAGAAAATAGATGTTAAAGAGTACAAAAATTTTTCCTCAAATAATTAAAGTGAATGAATTTTAGAAGTCTATTGATGTAATGATTTAAAAATAGAATAGTCCATTATGTATATGTAGTTTCTATAATCTATCGGTTTTTACTTGTTGGTAAAAACGTGAAAAATTGATAGTGGTTTTTTAATTTAAAAATCGGTTTTGTTTTCTTTATTTAGAAAAGAAAAATTTTTGAATATACAAACTATTACGAGTATTGCTCGTTTTCAATCACTGTGACTAATACAATAAAATCTTGTATAATGATCCTTCCGTTTACCGGTGAATCTCGCTTCCCGATAGACCTTTTGAAATAACGAAAGAGACACAGATGAGTAAAACGGAAAAAGCTTATGCATATATATTTATGCAAAGGCACAGGTGTAAAAAAAAAGAAAAAAAAACGAGAAGTCTTGGTTGTCATTGTCAACAATGATAAGAAGGTGAAAGTATGAAGTGTTACATTGAATGTCGATGAAACTCCACACCTTCTCTTGCGTCATTAAATACTAGTTTGTCTCTGTGAATCATTATGCGTTCTTTTGTGATTTCACTATATTCAAATTGTTTCTAGGTTTATTACTCTGGAGCAAATAAGAGTAGAATGAGAAACATGATACTAAAAAAAAATCCGAAAAGAAAAAGAAAAGAAGATTGTTTATGGCTAATCATGTCTGAACACGAAAGCTATTCTAGACAGAAGAAATCTGGTTTCTAACATAACGTTTTTTTTTTACAGTAATCACCTCCGATTTGGAGTAAAAAAATAGAACGATAGAGAGAGCAGAAAAGAAAAAGAGTAGCTGGTATTATGATTCGTATTTTTTTTCTCTAGAGTGAATACACAAATTTTGAGAGAATAGAAGAAGAAAAAGAGAAACAGAGGGAGAGAGAAAAGGCAGTCTAACGACCTTGGTGTGGTTTTAGTATGTCCTCTTCGCATAACTGGCATGTGAATATTACACACAAGTGAATTTACACGCATACCTACACATTCAAACAAAATGTCGGACGAATTTAGCAATTTTACTATTAGTTGTCAAAAATTTAAATGTTCAGCTCGTGGTCTTCTATTACCATTTGGTAAATATTTTCTTTATTTAATTTAAATGTATATATGCATATATTGTTTTCCTTTTTTTTCTAAAAAATTATCAGGTATTGAAGCGTGTATGTCAATACAATTACGGGCAGTATTATACTTTATTTTTTTACTTTATCTTTTTCTTGGTATTGCTATTATTGCCGATATATTTATGTCTTCAATTGAAACTATAACATCAAGAAGACGAAAAATACGTTATCCTGATCCCGCAGAACATGATAAATATTTAACTGTTGAAGTTCGAATATGGAATGATACAGTCGCAAATTTAACATTAATGGCACTTGGTTCAAGTTCACCTGAAATTCTTTTATCAATTATTGAAATAATTGGCAATCGTTTTGAAGCTGGAGAGCTTGGCCCTGGAACAAGTAAGAATCTATTTATATTCTGTATTTTAATTAAACAATAATTATAGAAAATTTTCTATAAATAAAAATAAGATAATATCTTGTTTTCTTTTTTCTCTAAAAATAATGTCAAAAAAATATTTATATTTTTCGCGGCATGGGTTAATACATGATAAGGTCACGATATTTTAATTTACCCTTTGACTAACCTTTTCATAGCACATGTTTTCCTAAGGAAACTTTTTTATATGTATTTTAAGAAGAAAAAACCATCTGGAAAAAAAATAAAGATCAGAAATTTTTGATTAGATTATGATTTATTATTTTAGTTGTTGGTTCAGCGGCTTATAATTTATTAATGATTTGTGCATTATGTATTTCGGCAATTAAAGGGCCTGATACAAGAAGAATAAAATTATATAGTGTTTTTATGGTAATTTAATTTTGAGAATATTCCCAAATAGAATTGAATATAAATATAGGTTACATCATTTTTTGGCTTTTTTGCTTACATATGGATGTTCATTGTCTTATCGATTATATCAAAAGATGTTGTTGATCTTTGGGAAGCTGTCATTACATTTCTCATGTTTCCATTGGTTGTCATCATAGCTTTTCTAGTAAGATGAACGTGTTAAATAAAAAATCTAATTGTTCTCAATGCTTGATTAGGCTGAAAAAAACTTCTATGCTTCAAACAAAATTGACATGGAAGAAGAGGAACAAACACTTATATTAAGTAAGTCGCGATGTTTTTTTTTCTGTCAATATTTTCAAAAGATTGATTGTATGTATGATAGGTATTCTTTATGTTGTTGTCTTTTTTTTGCCTTTAGCACCACCAGAACATGATGAAACTGGCAGTCCACGTAGTTTTCGTAAAGATGAACTTCTTCAATTTTTACGTGTATGTTTTAATTAATTTTTTGGATAAAAAAATCGATTAGAAGTTTATTTCATTGTTTTCCATATATAGGATCTTGGTCAAACAACAAATTTATCATTAGAAGATAAAGCACAGTTATTTGCAGCTAAATTAAGTGAAAGTATGCATCGATCACGTATGCAATATCGAATTCAAGGTTCTCGAATGCTTACCGGTGGCAAATCTTTATTTCTTAATTTGCCTGACAAACTTCAAGAGGTTTGTAAATATGTTAATTAAGAAAACAAAGAATTGTTTTTATTTTAAATTTAATTGAATGAAATGAGATATATTTTTTTATTATATATAAATATTTAAACAGATCTATACGGAAGTAAATAAACATGATCCAATGGATGATCGTCGAACATCATTAATTTCAAAAACAGTTAAAGAAGAGGATAATATTGATTTTGATGAACAATAACTATTAATTGAATTTTCTACAACAGCATATGTTGTACTTGAAAATGAAGAAAGGGTTGTTCTTATAATCAAACGAAAGGTCCGATTGATATCGATATTTGATTCAGGTGTCTATCTTTTTCAATCGCTTGTTTAATCATTTGTGCATGCGTGTGCTATAACATATAACATAAAGTTAAATAACAAATTATATTCGTACATAAATCTATACTAATCCTTCTAATTGCTAATGTTTTGCAATATATATATTTATATATATATAAGTTAATCTCTAATGATTTATTTTCTTTTTTTATGTTTGAGGATAAAATAAAAAGTTACCCTGATTCGTTTAGATTTACGAACGAGCTATCAAACCACAACCATTTGATGGGTGTTTTCCGGCCGACCATCAAGTTGGTGGTCGAAAGGCAACATTATCAAAGATAGATGTAATTGAAGATCCACGTATCGCTATACTTGAGTTTGCTTCATCCAGTTATGCTGTACTTGAACGTGAGCAGCGTGTAACTATCGAAGTTGTCAGATACGGTTTTACGAATTCCGTTATTCATTTTCGGTAGGTCACGATCATCTTTCACATACTTGTCGTTCTTGTCTTGTTTTCTCGTGTATTTCTTGCTTTCACTAAACAGAATATCTGCTAGTTTCTTACTTCACTAATTGTATCCAAATACCAAACTGTTTGATCTTTCTTTTTGTTTTTTTTGGATATTGAGAAAAAGCTGAATATTATTTCAATAAGATTAATACTAAAAAATAGTTTGCATGATATTCTTTTATTGCTTCATATTTGCACGCTTTATATCACAAACATAATCTATTTCACATTGAATCAATAGAAACTGTTTTGTTGATAAATTTTTTTACTAAGATAACTTATTTATAGACTGGATACAATTGATGGCACAGCAACAGCTGGAGAAGATTATGTTAAATTATCCGAAGAATTTAAAATGGAACGTGGTCAACAAGAAAAACGAATTACAATACATGTTATTGATGATAATCAATGGGAACCGGATGAAACATTTTTTGTTAAATTATCATTACCTGAAGGTGAAGAAACTCGTGCAAAATTAGGTTCAAAAACAATTGCACTCGTAACAATTATTAACGATGATGGTAAATAATATCAATAGACAGGAAAAAAAAAGATAGAAATATTAAATATTTATTTTTATTTGATAGAACCGGGTTTTATTGGATTTGAAGAGCCAATTACATTAGTTAAAGAAAGTGTTGGTAAAGCAGAAATCAAACTCGTGCGTGTCAATGGTGCTGACGGTCGTGTCAGTGTACATTATCGAACAAAAGATATTGATGCTGTTGCAATAAGAGACTATGAACGTAAATAATCAATAATATAAGATAGGATTGGTCATATGTTTTTCTTTTGAGATTGCACCGAACCTTTCCGTTTAATTAACATGCTGTTATAGATGATTTTATTATTGAATATTTTGTTTTATAGCTGCACAAAGTGAAATTATATTTGAACATGGTGAAATATCAAAAATAATTGCTATACCAATTACAAATGATCTTGAAACAGAAAAAGACGAAAGTTTTGCTGTTGAATTATATGATCCAACGGGTGGTGCACAATTAGGCAAACATATAAAGACTGTTGTTACAATAATTAATGATGATGGTAATTTTATCTTTGATCTTAAAATTATTTATTTGAATGATAATGATAACTTGAAAAAAGGAACAACTTTTTTCATTTAGATTATAAAACAATGGCAAATCGAATGGCATCACTTGTTCAAGTTGATATGGATAAATTAAGTGTAACAAAAACATCATGGGGTCAACAATTTCGTGATGCTATGAATGTTAATGGAGGTGATTTAGAAACGGCTAAAGTTGGTCATTATATAGGTCATGCACTTGCATTCTTTTGGAAGGTAATTTCCCATAAAACAAAGAAAATTTTATTATTTCATTTTTTCTTCTTTATTGTTTTTTAAATAGGTGCTTTTCGCTTTGGTACCACCTCCAGCAATAGCTGGTGGTTGGTTAACATTTTTTGTTTCACTTCTATTCATTGCTATGCTAACAGCTGTTGTTGGTGATGTAGCGGCTATATTTGGTTGTCTAGTTGGATTAAAAGATAGTATAACAGCTATATCATTTGTTGCACTTGGAACATCATTACCTGATACATTTGCATCGATGATTGCTGCAAAAAATTCTAAAACAGCTGATGATGCTATTGGTAATGTAACTGGATCAAACAGTGTTAATGTATTTCTTGGTTTGGGACTTCCATGGCTTATTGCTGCTACCTATTGGGAGTCAAAGGTACGATATTTACACTTAGATATACGTTAATTAAGACAGGGAGATACATTTCTCTCTAGAGAAATATATGTGAATTAATTTTCTGATTTATGTTTTTTTGGCTTAATATTTTAGAATCTCCCATTTACGGTCAAAGCTGGCGATCTATCATTTAGTGTATTAGTCTTTTCCGTGTGTTGTGTACTTTGTATGATTGTACTTATTCTTCGTCGATATTTAGGCGTATTTGGCAAGGCAGAACTAGGTTAGAAACTTTCATGAATGATTTAGTTTATATTGAAGATATTCTTTTGTTTTCAGGTGGACCAACAATACCAAGATATTTATGTTCAACCTTTTTTATTCTTCTTTGGATTGGATATTTAACATTATCCGGGCTTCAAGCTTATGGACATATTAAATGGCAGAGTTAAACAATTCTATTCTGTATATATGAACATGGACGAACGAAAACAAGTGAAAGCTTTAGCATATGACTCTGTTTGTTTCGTTTATTCATATATTTGAACAAATACTAAATTCTTTTTCTGACGGTGCGTATCTGTGATTAATGAAATTCATATAAAGAAAAACAAGGAAGAAAACGACGACAAAAAAATTAATCTAGGAAATTATTCTATGCTTTGTTCTTTATTTTATTTTATTTTATTTCTTCATTTTTTAAATATAACTACTGATGATTAGTTTATAAGAAAATAATAATGTCGACCGAATGAAGAAACGTATGAATAAGTGAAAAGAGATAAATATAATATTTAGAGTGAACTCAGGATCACAATTGTTTTCCAAAATAATGTCTTTTTCACGACTTATATGCATAGAAATGCATATCTTCATACATGTAGTTCAACATTATATCTCTATTTTGTTTTTTTTATTTGTTATTGAATTAATGAACATAAACGCTGAATTTTTTCTTTCATGTTTATGTGTGTATGTATCATCGTGCCTGTGCATGTTTATCTCTATGTATTTTTTTTTCCTTTCATTTCCTTTTGTTTTTGCACTTTGTTTCTTTTTATGGTGGAATAACAGAAAACAGTGGAAGTTTGGGAACAGTAGTTACAGTATTTTTCTTTTTAAAATATATATAAAAATTGGAGAGAACGATAATCATATATTGCCAAAAAAAAAATTACAAATGACAAATTGTAAATACCAGTTGAGAAGGTTTCGTATTTAAACTTTTTACTTCAATAATTAAAAAAGTCGTTTATTATTATTGAATTAGTCATTTTTGTTGTGGTCATACGATCATGTTCTATGAAGAAGAATGTCATTGAATTGAGGAAATGAAATGCTAATAAGCATAATACAGTTCTTACACAATGCACCGATAACATATTTTCATGATGAAAAAAGAAAATTAATAAAATTAAAAGAATTATCGATTGAATTAAATTAATAATTTAAAATATGATAATATATATTTGTGTTTTCATGATAATTATTATTGAAATTCATAGTTAACCATTTGCAAATTACTCTAGAAGGAACACACTGGTTTTTTTTTGTTTTCTATCATTAGAAATCAGTGTTCATCTGTTTGTCGAGAATCAATGGAAATCAAGTCTTTACTTTTAGTCTTATTATTGAAAGTTTTTTATGATTTAGAATAATTTTCATTGAATTTTAATGGTTTCTGATTGTTTCCGATGAGTTCGAATCATATCCGATCATGATTCCTATCCTTGAGGCATTAAAATGCTTTCTGGCATAGAAATCAGTATGTTCCCTCTTCAAATTACTCACCGAATCAATGAATTCTATTGAATTATTAATAAGAAATAATCATTTATATTTTGTTTTTATTGAAGCAACATATTTCATAGAATTATTGAGATAGCTTTTTTTAATATCTAATTCAATGATATTAGATATATTCGATTTTCCAATATTAATTCATTATGTGGATATTCTATTTACATATTGAAACAAACTTTTATTTTCAGTTGAACGTAGCAATTAAATTTTAATAACATTTTCAATATATAAGAGTTCAAGGATACTTACTGGAAAAAATATATTATATTGGAGTTATTTATTCAATCGACAGCATATTGTAATCTTTGCATGTTTTTTCAAGGTTAAAAGGATCTTTGTCATATTTATACCAAAAGTATCAATCCAATTGGTTTTCGTTGATTAATACACAACACAATAGATTACAATGATGCTATTAATCTAAATAGAGTTCTTCATTTTTTTAGGGGCAATAAATCAATAATATTCATAAATATAACTAGGAATTTCTTTTAATTACTAAATATTATTCTATGAAAATTCTATTTCAACATAGTTTCTTAAAGAACTATTCATATACAATATAGATCATTGACAATTAATGAACAATATTTGCAATGTTCATGAAATAGGAATTCAAACTTTTTAATAATGTTACATACTTTGAATCTTAACTTTATTATAGATTATAAATTTTCTATCTGATATATATATATAGTAACTGAAAGATTTATGAGTTAGAAAATTAAATATAAATGTACATGTATTTCATTTTCATATTATACCTTGGTTTTCAAAATCTAGTTTAAAGATAGGTGACATGTCATAATAAAAAATACATACATTTTTTTTGTCTAAAAATTATGAAAGAAAAGCCTCTATTTAAGATGAACGATAGTATAATTCATGTCGATGTAAACTACATGGACTAACAGAATATGATATGTCACTATTGCAATAAATCAAATGAGAATTGATAGAAACCATATATTTTTTTTCTTACTGAGAAAAATGATAACGATCGTGATGAATAACATAGATAAACAACATAATCATATAAAATAAACACTCGATTTATCTTTAATACATGCAGTTCTTCACAATCATTTTTCGAAATAATATATAATCTATTACTTATGATGAAAATAATTAATAAGTTTTGCATTATTTTTAAAAAGCGTTATTAAATAACGAGTAAGCTGAAATTTTTGAGACTAAATATTTGTCTATTTTTGACTTTCTTGAAAGTATTTCCAATGTATCAAAAACTAATAGTAAGAACCTAAATTTTATGTAGTTTATGAGTGTGGACTTATGAAGAAAGTCTCGTATTCACTTTTGAGTCGAGACTATATGTATTATGTAAATTCTAATGAGCTTAAAATATCGTGAAAAGAGCTTGGACACTTACTTGATCATTGCGAAGATAATTCATTCTAGGATATTTTTTAAATGAATATCGCTGTAACAGAAAGATACATTTTTTCTGAATTTCGGCTTGACATTTTATATAGAGACAAGCCTGTAAAAGAATAGTTTATTGCAAATGTTTTAGATCTCGCGAAAGACAAAAAAACAAAACTCAAGAATACATTTTGTGGGGTAACTTCTGCTCTACATACTGATGTATGAATACAGTCCTGAACTTTTACTTTTGAGTTGTAATAGTACAACTAAAAAAAAAGTATTGAAAAATTTTCTGTCGAAATTATTTTTTCTTCGGCGTTTTTAAGATTATTGCACTTGTCCCGAACAAAAACTGAAACAAAATTTGTAACCGACAGCATTCGACCCATAAAAAAAACACTCAAAGGAGTCATAAGTACACGAACACTTATGCCAAAATTTTCTACGCAAACGCTGTCTTCAAAGTATGATTCATTATGTTGATTTGAAATAAATGTAATAAGCAAAAAAATGAAGACAGTATTTATTGTAAGAAGTTTATTAATACATAAATTTTTAAGTATATGAACAATATCATTTGTTAGCGACGTGACTTTGCAAAATTAAAAGTCGTGTATTTCTGAATAATAAATTTTTCTAGAGTTCATTTTTATAAATTAGATGTGCGTTAAATTACTCTAGATACCTAGAAAAAAATGAAAGCTAGACAATATTGTTCGGAGGAGTTATCATTCAAAAATCAGCAGTAGGGACGTGATACAAAAAACGATATCGACTTTTACTTTATGCATTTCTATTTAAAAAAAGAACTTCAAATTAAGGCATCATTTTGAACGATTCCTAAGGCTAGAAAATCTCTATCCAAAGTTCTTTCTGAGTATGCCTATATTGTTCCAAAAAAATCGATTCACTTTTCGTTAATGACGTGACTGAGTGTGAATATACAAACAAAGAAATGCTCTCATAACTCAATGAGAAGTTCAAAATCAATTCTAAACGCTAGAAATCCTTATTTAGAATCTCTAGATGATGGTAAGAAAAATTACCGTTGTACCATAGATGCTGTTAATGCAGTAGAGTCTGTAGTGGAATTGTCGAATTTTTTTTCGCATATGGGTAGAGAGATATTTGCTAATTACTTTTTATGAATAGTCAACTGACAATGCCAACATCTGCACATATGTCTATGCTAAAAGAACTTATTCAGAAAAGTATTCCTTATAAAAAAAGCCAAACTCAAAAGAAAAATGAGTATGTCCCATTTTGCTTACATTTGCGAATGTATATAGAGAAGAATTCAAGAAAATTCATTTTCTGAAAATTTGAATAGTGTTCGAAATCATATGATAAATATTTTTGTAACATTGAGAACTTATCTTATTCACTAGAAATAACGTCAAATAGTCGAAATGACAAATAGAGATATAAATCAATCGTTGTATCCTTTGATTGGCTAAGCTTCTATGACCTTTCGAAAAAAAACCTATTTATCATTTGTTTATTATACGTATCAACGCAATTTGTTAAGAGATTATATCTGATAATATGATGAAGTGATAAATTGTCCTTGCATTTTTTTTTCTCTATTTTTAAATCCATGATATAAAAATCAATTGTATTGTAAAGACTGTTAGTTTACTATGCATACAAATTTGATCAGTCGGTCTGTTCCCATCGCAATAATTCAGCAGTATTTTGTTAAGTGATAAATAGATTTGTAAAGATTATATCATCGTCATTTTCACTTATTAACCTTCGAAAACTGAACCATCGTCTTATTTTCTTTGTGATAATTGGTTCGAGGTAAGAAGTGTGCACGCCCTTTTTATTTCGTTCGTCATTAATTATTCCTGGCAGCAATACTAATAAATGCATAAAAATCAATGGATCTAATGCTTTTATTGTATACGAACAAAGTTGGTCTAAAATTAGATTCATTCTTACTGCATTCTGTTCTTTTGCGTTCTTTCTTTTCTGTACATTAATATTTTTTTTTCGTTTCCTTTGTATGCAAGTATATGCGTGACCATTTTTACTTGATTTCTGTGCTTTATGTTCGTACGCCAAGGTATTGGATCACATATCTTTTATTTATTCTGTACCATTCATCTATTTTCTCTTTCTTTTCATATATTCTTTTTTCACAGGTAACTAGAAGAAAAAATGCGAACGATGCTCTATAATATGATTTTGACTGTTCTTCGTAAGTACATCAATAACTTTTTTTCTCATGTTAAAATGTAATAAAAAATATTTCTTTTTT